AGAAAGGGTTTCAAAATGAAAAGAAATGCAAAAGGTGATAATGAAGGGTGACAATGAATAGCAAATACCTATCCTCCCCAGCTCCACCCGAAACCGCGAGATCTCGTCCGTAAGTTTGCTTATCCTTATACTCGAGTATAAACAGCAAGACACAGATTTATCCATCTAGCATCGTTGTAACGATACACCTGATTGAAGATCTAGAACAGGATTCGATATTTATACACGAGCTTTGATGTGTTGAGATCTGCATACAATTGTTGTATGTATCAATGGCCACAGAACCCTCAGTTTGTTTAGTACAGTAAGAGTATCCAAATTGCTCGAAGAGGTTTCGCGGGTAGGTAGGTAGGTGGTATACGATCCAGCGTTTTCGTCCGAATTACATTATAATTGTGGTTTCTTGACAAGAGTGAGGAAAATTGTGTGGTAGCGAAAACACTTATTTCAAATAAACTGACCATACCATCTTATCCCATCTCATCCCATCTCATCACATTACATATCCCCCTTCGACCAAACTCCTAGCAATAACACTCAAAGCCATCCTTTCCCCACCCCACCCCACACCACACCAAACCACCCCTATTATTTATGTCCATCAAAAGTAATGCCCTTTGATCTCCCGAGAACGTATCTTCCGTAGACTTAAATAGACAGATGATCGCTTCGCCTACTCACAACAGGAATTCACCATAACTCCAGAATCGCCGTGCATCAACTAGTTCGTGCATAGGTATGGGAAGTTGGGAACCCGTATTGTAAAGTTCTATGTGAATAAGAAGATACAAGTCCAGAACCTACATCTTTTCACCAATCCATCCATCACACTTGCACCAATCCCACTACCATAAAATCTCCACCAGTAGAACTCTTCGACTGCTGCAGCATTTTTGGTAATGAGATACTCCTGCTGCATATGTCGAAGCAGGAGTGGTCGCTCAACTTCAAATTCAAATTCATACCAGATCGATACCGATATCAGAACAAACCCGAAATGAAGGTCTGCTATAGTCCATAATAAACGAGTAGAGCTTTCCGATTCATCTCTACCTATGATTGGTCACTGCTGGCTGTAGTATAGATGATAGCAATATTATCCATCCCAGCTAACCTACTCCCATTTCAGCCATTCTATTATATTTTCTTCCCATTTCGTCCTATCAACTCCCATCATATCACACTACCTAATACTCGTCATATGTATCTCGTCATATATATCCTAACCTTCAAATTCACACTTCGACTTCTCTGATAATTCTCTTTTTTTAGCGATGATGATACTGTATCTAATTCCATATTGCAGACCAAATCAAATATCTTCCTTCCACTTGGAACTTAGTATATGAATATGTAGCTTCAGTCCTATCAGTTTTAGGTTCTGGAAGATGAAGCCCCTTGGTATTCCGAGTCATTTCAAACGACAATATATATTGATATTTCGAAAACCAAAACCCTTCAAAAACAATGAATGAATGAATGCCCAACTCCCCTGCAGCCATTCCATTCCAAACCAAACCCCATAACCCTCAGCACACCAAACAAACTAACCTGATCTTCCACCCAGATTCAGACCTCAATCCAATACAATCCCGCATTTCCTCAAAAATTCTTCCAGATACTCAAACGCGCATTAAGAAAGTGATGCTCTGCTCATTCATAGAACATGCGTGCCATAAATACACACAACACAGAATAATGTCTAGCAGTACTGAGTATTTGCAGGAAAGAAAAAACACTGAATAGGTAGGTTAGGTAGCTAGAATAATATTTATTCCATGACCAATCAAGTACTTACATGAATATCCTAGGCTCCGAATTCCAATAGGTATTCACCAACTTGTTACCCCGCTCAACTGGGTATGTACTACGCATACGAGTAATTGGGATGATGTGATTCAATCGATATGATTCACCTCTAAAGGAGATAGGAGATTGGGAGATGGGCTGTGTATATGGAACGAGACGAGTTTGATGAGTTCCCATTAATTATATAAAGAGTAGAGTCACCACTACGAGCACCCCGCATCCATCTTACGGAAAGGGACAGCAGCGAAAGCAATAATATGTTTCAAGAGGAGAGGAGAGGTACTTATTTATACCCCTCTTGTGCTTTAAAGACGCTGACTTTGCATTTACACGTTTTCAAATTCGACTTTGTAACATTTAATAAATTCCTTTTGATTTCAAACAAGGAGCCATGTTTGGCAATGTTATAAAGAACCCATTCCCATCTTCATCGGATGGAATCAAGCATGTTACTGCCATGGTCTGTCTCTTTATCTTTATAAGTACCTAGTAGGTATATTTATTGACAATATGAAATGATAATCGTTGATTGTTGATGTTAGATGACAATACTAACAAGAGAACGGGACGAGAAGGCAATGAATCCTAGGTATACAAAAAGAGGAAAAAAGAACGAAAAGACGAAAGGAGGAAGGAAGAAGGAAGGAAGGGATTGCGGGAGAGGGGTAGACATGAACAAAAGTCTGGAGAAATCCGGTAAAGCATCTAGACTCTTGACTTTTGGACTTGTGGAATTTAGACCTTGGCATGAAATGGCTCATCAAATGACACGCGTTCTGTACCTGAAGTCCTGACCTTACATCTTACATTACATTTACAGACTTACAGTACCTTTATTAGACATTATTACAAGTGCTTACAGATTTCCTGACCTACCTACCTAGTAGTTAGCCTGAACAACTGCTGACCTTATATTCTTCGTAAAATCTAGGTCGTGTGAACCCATCACTGGACTTTCTTTACCGTATTAATTCGTATTTATAGTTTCCCAAGTAGCCAAGTTAGCCAAGCAGTCAAGTAAGCCATGATCATCAATCATCACTATACAACAAAAGGTGTGGTGGAAGAATGGAAGAGAAGGAATGGAAATGGAAATGGAATTCATTATTTAGCACGAGTAGACGCGTTATTGTGGAAAATACTCGAGTATTTGATTGATTAATTGAGTTGGATTTGAATACCGTGATGTGTGTGGTATGGTGAGGTAAAGAAGTTAAAGAGGTAAAGTCAAAGGGGATCAATCGATTACTGTGAACGATGATTGTAATTCGAGGAATCGATCGATTGAGAAAACAAGATCATTCTCCTGCATTATGCCTTTGCCCTAGAGTTTCAGTTTCTGTACTACTGTACCTTTGATTTTGATTTCAAAGCGAATTGATATGATGTTTTTACTTGTTGAGATGAACTGAACTTTGCAGAACTATAAAAGTAATTGGTTGGAATATCTTAATATCAATTCTAGACCTTTTCCTTGTTGTACTACTCGGTATGTTATTGATGAGATGATGGAACTTCCTTATAATACATAATATATTTATAATCTAGTTAGAGACAGGTGAAGCTTTTTCATTCTTTTCCTTTCCTTTCCATCACTTTAATTACTCCGATGAAACCGATATTTTCAGCGAAAAAATATCTATTTGTACCTAGCACAGTTATTGTTGCTTTGATAAAGATACTCGAGTAGGTAGAGAGATTAGGTTGATCCGGATTTCGTATTGATTACTAAGACAGAACCCAAGTAAAAAGGATTGGATGTTTTCTGTTGTCGTCTCCGTATTGTATTTGGATTCTATCACAGTACAGATAGATAGATATCTCCTTACCGGTGGTCTAGACTCGAAATTTACCAAATGCTTTCTTGGAAATTGAAGATAATGGGGGAGAATGAGGATGAAGAAATCGGAAGTCGGGTCGGGAGATGACTTGGACTTTAACCTGATAAAGAGGGGTAGGGGGGTAGGTAGTAAGGTAGTAGTTACCAGGGAGTAATTTCTAAAGATGAAAACAATCCCAGTGATGGTAATTTCCCATTTGCAGACCAAGCCACCTTTTCTTCTCTCTGAACCCAGTTGTTGTTGTTCCACTCTATGCCTTAAAAGTTAAATGACCTTTTACTTACCAAGAACAAGTCTTCATCATTATTATCGTGAAGTAGTAAAAAAGACAGCGCCTAAGATAATAAACTTTAAATAAATCTAAAAGAGTAAAATCAATGAGTAAAGAATATACCCAAATAAGAAATCAGGAAATAATTAGATACTACCTTATTCCCTCCCTTATTGACTGGCCTTACCCGTCCGTACCTGTGTATCTTTTTAATGATCCAATCAAATATTTCAAATTCTCATCCACTTATCCACTTCTTCCATAATAATAACTAACTAACCTAAACCCAAACTACGCACAGGAATTTAAACCCTAAACCCTTTCTTTCATCAAACATTAACCATTCATCCAACTCCTCAATTTGATTCAACCTACATACAATAATACAGTAACAACTCAACTCAACTCAATTCTCTCTCACTCACTCACTCACTCACTCTCTATCCCCTTAAACAACGAATTCCTTCCATCGTTAACGTTAACGTCAACGAGAATAATCATCAAAACAGGTCGTTTTCGATGATTTACATTCTCTTGTGTTGATTTCCCTACCCTCTTCTTTTTATTTTTTCATTCCTTCTCGTTTCTAAATACCGCCAAACATTCGTTTTACCTTTTTTTGCTTGCGGCCTTTTCACCACCACCACCTTCCATTCCAGCATCGCCCGTTTTTATTTCCTCTCTCTACTCATCCAACACCGGACGAACAGGAGAATTCTTGGCCTGACCTGACCCCTTCTCTATTCCCATCCCCCCATTTCGAAACATCAAACAGGAAATAAAATCAAATCAATCATCAATACAACATCCATCTACTTCAATCATCATACACGTCACGTCGATTCACTCGTTATTTCGATAAATCGCCTTTTTCTTGTGATTGTTTTCTTCCTCTCGCTGATCATTCCTTGAAGACCGACTGATCTCTCAAACACAAGAGGGAACATCCATCCATCTATAACAAACCAAATCAACCTTCCATCACCATACAAACAACATCTCACGATAAACCTCAACGCGACCGACCGACCGACCGATCGATCGATCTTTATCAACAATATAACGAAAGAAAACTCATCATGAAGTCGATATCTAACCTCGCCATCATCGCTGCTGTTGCGTTAATTGGCAATGTCATCGCTGCACCAGCTCCCGAACCATCAACCATCGCATATAAGACTTTAACATATCAAGGATGCTTTTCGTCGGGTGACGGATTGACCAAGAATTCATCATATACATACAACAGTAAAGGATATTGTCAAACGCAATGTGTACCTATTGATTTCGCGGTTCAAGCAACATACAACTCCGATGAATGTTGGTGTGGTGATGATCTTCCTCCAGCAGACGATCTAGTCGACGACTCAAAGTGCAATAGTCCTTGTGCTGGTATTAATACGGAAATGTGTGGTGGTACTAAACGTTATTGGTCTGTTTATCTTACTGGTACCGAAAGCTCAGCCCCAAATTATGATGCTGCAGCTGCATCTGCATCTGCATCATCATCCTCAGCAGCAAATGCTGCAACTCAAACTTCATCCAATACACCATCCGTTGTTACAGTAGGAGGTAAGGTTGATTCTTTTTCAAGCTCTCATATCTCATCTAACAAAAAACAACAGGTCAAACAGTTACCGTTCAAGCATCTAATGCTGCAGCTGCTTCGAGCTCAGCAGCCGCGTTAGCTAGTAACAATGCATCATCATCATCGGGTCCAAATAAGGCTGGCATCGCCGCAGGCGTCGTTGTCGGTGTACTTGTTGCTGCAGCTATCGCTGGAGGTATCTTCGTCTTTATGCGAAATAAGAAGAGACGTGAGGTCGAGGAAGAATATAGAAGAAATGCTGCAGTCAACAACTTCGTCACCGGTGGTAAATCACCTGTTAGCAGTGGTGGAGCTTCTTTTACCGATACTCGTCTTGATCCTACTCTCGCCAATAGAAGAATGAGTGATGGTAGTATCGCTGATAACCAAGATTACTCGAGGAGAATCCTCAAGGTATGTTATGTTAATACATGAGAAATAATTTGAGAGCATACTAACATATTCCCAAGGTAACCAACGCATGATAAAGCTGCATACACACATTATACCAATGTGACGAACCATCAGTTTTCAATGTCATTTAGCCCAATTCAATCCCTTTCGGCGTTCTCGGTCTTCATCTCCCTTTTTGTGACAACACACACATGGTCATTCTGCTTTGGGTATCAGTCCCTGTTTTATAAGGGTTCATGGTGTTATGTGTATAGGCGTGGCGTAGAATGAGCATATGAAGAACATACTCTTTCGTCATTAGGAGAATTGATTTTTCCTAATAGGCATCGATTCTACGATACACCAAACATTTCAATTTAATGTTTGAAAACCACACCGTCCTGTCATTTCAGCATTTGCGTTCGAGAAAAGAAAAAAACTCCAACTCCTCCCGATATCTATCTCCTTTTTTGATATTTTATTTCCTTGACTAAGCGATCCTGTTATACCCAATCCCTTTCAATAAATTCCGATATCTTTGGACCGACATCTTTTGGATCGATCACGATAATACCCCTTCAGCATTTTCATTGAGGAAGGAGAACAATTAGCATGATTTCATACAGCGACCTAGGGTTTTCCCGCAAATCGACCAGAAAGTTTGGAAGTCATTGAATACTACCCTACTACAAAAACTACAAACTGCATACACACAACACAGAAACTCCCTTGTATTTTATGGGATCTGTTTAAAGACAGATTTGGGAATAGGGAAGGGAGCATTATTGTTGGAGAAGGGAAATACATGGGGATGGAATGGTGCAATATTTGAGGGAGATAGATGGGAAGCAGAAAGGGAAGGGAAGGAAGATTTGATAGGGCATTGCATGGGAGGTTTTAAAGTGTTTACTGCGAAGTAGTGGTTGGTTGGTTGGTAGTTAGTGATTAGTGGTTATAGATCTGGACTGGTTGGATAGTCGATGGATAGTCGATGTAATGATGAGAGAATAAGTTTAAATCAATTGAAATATCTCTTTTGTTATTGAATATGATGTATGTGTGTGTGTGTGTGTGTGTGTGTGTGTGAGGATTGATGGGTGATCCGTTGATGGATGATGGGATGATGGGATGGGAGATGAATGAGGTGAGGTGAGTGGGTGGGCGGAGTGAGTGACTAGGTGAGTGGATGGAGATAGGGACGAGGATGAGGATAGAGATGAATGAGGTGAGGTGGGTGAGGTATATGAGTGGGTGGGTAGGTGGATATATGAATTTGGTGAGGCTGGGGGTGGAGGGAAGAGGATGGATGAGGAGAGAGGGGCAAGAGATATAGAGGAGACAAAGAGTAGAAAGTAGAGGGAAAAAGAGAGAGGAAGAGAGAGAGAGAGAAAGGGGGTAGATGGAGTGAAAAAAAAAGGGAAAAGGAGAATTGAGAATGGAAATAGAAATAGAAATAAGAAATTGAGAATTGAGAATGGAAGTGGAAGAGGAAGAGAAAGAGAAAGAGAAAGAGAAAGAGAACAATCTTTTAATTTTTTGATTTATTGTTTTATAAAAGGAGGGGGGAGGGAATGGTTAGTATAGATGATTGGGAAAGATGGGAAAAATGGGAAAGAAGATGGGGATGGGAGATAGTAGAGTTAGAAGGGGCATAGGTGATGTGATATACTTGTATATTGAATGGAGTGTGAAGGTAACTGGTAAATGGTAAATGGTAAGTAGTGAATAGTGAAAGTAACTGGGTGTAGTAAAGGTGTAGTAAAGGTGAGGTGAGGTGTGTTGAGGTGTAGTAGGTGATAGACTGATCACCGCACCGGTATGTGTAATGAATTTTGAGTGATGAGGTTTGAATTGGATAGTGGTGGGATGGATATATTGTAAGAGATGAGATGGGTTGTTAGAGGAGTGAGGGGAAGATAGGAAGATATGAGGTGAGGTGAGGTGAGGTGAGATGATATTGGGGGGTGGTTTGGGGGGGAGTGGAGATTAATGATTACCTAGGGGGGTGGGGATGAGAGAGGGGGAGAACAGGTAGAGGATAGAGGGGGAAGACAAGAGGAAAGGAGACAGTAGATAGTATGATATAAATTAGGGGGGGGGGGAAGGAAAGACAATGTTAGGGGTTTTAGTTTTATATATAATAAATGAAATAAGCGATTTCAGGTAGTATTATTACTCCAGTAGAGGGTATGTATGTCTATAAATTGAGCTGGATTGGGTGGATTAGAAAATTAGGGAATTAGGGAATTATTTTTCATTCGAACTTGAAGGTTGTTTCTTTCGTTTTGTATGGTTAGTGGCTTTGCGGGTTTGGAGAGAAGATGGATGGATGGATGAGGATAGATTGATGAGGATGGTGGTTTGTGGTTTGGTGTGGATTCTAGGGGAGAGGGAGGAGGCGGAAGAGGGAGATAGGGGTGTGGTTTAGGTTAATTGTAAATAGACTGGGTTGTGATAGAAGATGGAAGATAGAAAATATATAGATCACAGTACAGTAAGTAATAAGTAAGTAAGTAAGAAAGAAAGATAGTTTGATAGAAAGGAGGATCTAGAGGGGAACCTTGCAGAGTGACGGATAATAATACATGTGGTTGGAAACTGGGATATGAAGGAATGGAGGAGGTAGGGAGAGGAGTGAGGAGTGAGGAGAAAGGGATAAAAGAAAAGGGAAAATGGAAGCGAAGGTGTATCTGCCATCTATCATCTACCATCTGGTATACTCGAGTATATGTATGAAAGAAACCTACAACTTCAAATCAGGCGTTTATCATTGAGATGATATGGATAAAGATTGCATACGAGTTTTTCTTCATGTGATGTGATACCATTATATGAACCGATTTGAAGGATTTGATCTACAGAGTAGATGGGTCAATTGGCATGTTATTGTTTTACCTTACTCGAATACATGGCTTCTTGTTCTTGTTGATGTTGTTGGCTGTTGAAGATACGAGTTATGGAGTATTGATTGGTGAGGTGAGTACTTATTGTGTGAATTTGGTGTGGGTGTAGAGACTCGAGAGTAAAAATTTTCCGGTATGGGGAAAAGAAAAAGAAAAGAAAAGGGAGTTTTGTCTGGTTATATATGAGTTTTATGATAGTGTAGGGTAGGGTATTGAATTGAAGTTTCTGGTGGTGATTTTGGGAGGTGGAAGGTGGAAGGTGGAAGGAGAGCTTGTGGGTGATACTCGTAGATGGATGATAGATGGAGATAGGCTTGGGCTTTGAGGTGGAGGGAGGGTGGAGAGTGGAGAGTGGAGAGTGAAAAGGAGATGGAGAGATGATCGAGTGATTGAATAGAAATGATAGGGATAATGAATTACAGATGGTAAGATGAGGTGTGGATACGTAGAGGGTCGTGGATGTAGTGGGATGTGGTGAGATGTAGAGTAGTAGGATGTAACTCGAAGCAAAAACCAAGAAAGGGATTATGGAGAAGCGAAAGTGTAGAATGGAAGATTTGGGTGATTAGACTTGGTTGGGGTATTGGGTTTGTTCATGACTGTATGTAAGGTAGGTGGGTATATATGAACACGAAATGTGTGTTGATGGATGGAGGAATGTGTATTTTAGAAACTTAGAGTCGAGTTGATACTGAGAGGCTAATATGAAATGTTGTGACTTTTTCTACTGCACGGCGTTAGTCTCATGGCGCGATACGCACTGGAGGTGTCTTTAAATTATCTTGTCTGGAACGCGAAGCTTGTTGAGTATGTGTGAGTTTTCTCATACATAGTAACATAGTGTCTATCATCTGTGGTATGATAATGAAGAAATAAAAAATAGGAAGGCGAATGATTTGCTGTTAACTTTAATTTGTATATTTTGTTAGCTGCCGAAAGCATGACGGAGTACCGAAGAGTGAAAGGTTTCAGGTACTGTACGGGAAATGGAAAATGGCAATAGGGGCTTGTAGATGTTTTGGAGATTTGCTGGTATCTTGGGACAAGCGTTTTGATGAAGGAATGACTGACTGAAGATACACTTGACTTTTAGAGGTAGTGGGGGATTGGGTGGTTGAATGGTAAGGGTGATAGATAGTGAGCTGTGTATAGAATGAGATGTGGTAAAAATAGGAAAGGGGAAGGGGAAAGAGTAAGTTAGGGGACGTCTGGAGAGGAGAGTTGAGGGAGGAGGGTTGAGGGTTGAGGATTAGATATCGGGAACTAGGGACTTGGAACTGGGAAATGCGAGAGAAATGTGCATGTATATGGACGGGTGAATGAACGGGGAGGTAAATCCAAGATATGTGTCGATGGAGGGAGATATGATGAGAAAGAAGTCTGGGGATGGAAAGCTGAACTGAACTGAGCTGATGTGGATGTGGTTGTGATGAGGTTCACGCTCTGTAGCGAAAGAGATCTGGAAATTAGGTATATTCTGATGAGATTCGTACACAAGTATTTCTATATCCGCGTCGCACGACAATTTTCGACAGACATTCATCTAGCCGTTTAGTAAAGCGATTAGGTACTGTGTAGCTATTTTCCAAGACTTAAGTACACAACCATTCTCTGCGTAGATATAGGTGTACCCGAGTAGATGTTGATATGGGTACAGAGAGGATACTTGTCTTGTTTGATTTGAAGGTTCATGGGGTTATATGTATTGTATTGGATGTTATTGGGCTTGTGATGTTGAATGTTCGCTGTAGAGGTTTTGCTAGGAGGTTTGCCGGATGTGTTCTGCTAGGGAGGATCTGCTGTGGAGGATCTGATGTGAACTTTTACTGCTATTTCATGGCGGGAGTTTTTGATGGATGGATAGGGATATAGAAGGTAAGGTGTTTTGACTCCGACGATGAAGGAAGAGATGTGAGGGAATTGATAGAGTATTTCGTCGAATCGAATGTGCGATGTTGGTCAGAGGTTAATTTGGAGGGTAGATACTAAATTACCTAGATGATAGATGAGTATTAGTGTGGATATACTGCTGGTGATGTTTCTGGCCATACTACTGAAGATACTGGTGGTATTGCTGGTGCATCGGTGATACAATGAATGCAGAAGTTCCCTTCAGTACTTTGTGCATTGATGGATAGAGTATTGAATTGATCTCTGTATGCCATGTTCGATTGACTGTGGATATCAAA